GCGAGGTGGGCTGGAAAAAAAAAATTCCTAAATTTCTCTAATAGAACCAATGGTTCTAAGCTCTCCCTGGTGCAGAAATATAATTGTCAGTGAAAAAACATGTAACATTTCATATGGTGTCTCACCATTTGTATCATCAGGTATGTTGTGAATGCTTATCTGTACCATAGGAATAAATAGATACCACTGTGTGGGGCAAGCAACTAGTAACTTGGTTAATAATCATTTAACCTCAGCATTTTCCCAGACCACAACCCCACTTCTTTGGGGGTGGTTGGGGCACTGAAATCCCAAAGTAACCCAAATGTGGTTGCCCAGTTTTAGGTTTCCTTTGCAGTAACTGCAGGACCACCATCCAAATGGATGGTCCTGGGATTATCAAATGCATACTAAGGAAGTGAGACTAGAAAACATGGCATCAGAGGTTGCACTTCGCACAGGATATATCCAAGTAAACATGGTACATGCATCAACACATACAAAAACATATTTATAACCATGAGATGTTGGCAAACTTTCAATATATAGTAATTCAAAAGTATGTTGGATATTAATATTTCAATAAACAGTACATCAGTAATGTGGCAATAAGCAAATGCTTATGATTACTAAACACATGAATTACAGTATTTCCCATATTGTGACCAACAATATTCCTTTTCAGGAGTCAGAAGTACATTACCTCTCTCTATAAGAGCTTGTCCTAGCCATGAAAAAGCTTTTAGGGCAAGTCCATCTTTCCTCTATAGGAAGAACAACCAACGTATTACCTTCAATGGTTATTATGTAATTAACCCCTCTAAACGATAGGGGTATTTATGCGGATACCAGGTGGATAAGGTCTGGATATCCTTGCAAGCATAAACTCTGCATCATGACTGAGAGATAGGGTATGCGATGTGATCCAGTGACCACAGAAAAGCGTTGGTAGACACATTGCATCAAAGTGCCTGTTAACGACATGAGGAGAGGGACCATGCTTTGTTATAAGCATGTCCATACACGTATTACAATGCCAGGCTTTCAATTTGTTATCACAAAGCAAAACGCAGTTGTGGATATAAACTCACGACGTATCGTAAGAAAAACTGTTTGAACACCAGACTGAGACTCGAGATCAGTGAACAGTGGACCAAAATAGATAAATTAAATCTTATCAATTAATATAGTTTCAATATACTTTCTTTAAATGACTTTATCCTCTGTATTAACTATGAAATATTAAAGTTAAAACAATAACATTTAAAAGCCAACTTTTAGTGTGGATAGGAATTACAAGGCCGTTCATAATGTGAGATAAAGAACAGCTTTTTTTTTTTTTAAATCCGAATAGTCTGTGAACACAAAATGACCTTGCGCTGAAAACTCACTTGCAGGGGAAAACCAAAACCTTATTTTTTTCTTTTTTCTTTAGTAAGTTAATTAATTAAACATTGTTAGAACCTCCCTCAAAGTCCCGATGACTTTGCAAGAAACATGTCGTCCTTAAATACTGGGTAAGTCTATTAAACAGTGACATAGCATTGTTACCATGTGTGTCATGTTGTCACAGCTATAATGTGCAGTATAACAAACTATTTTATAAGTGTCATGCAAACTGTTCATTAAAAGCCAGTGGTCTAGCGAGCTATAGAACATTTATTCTTTAAATCTCTGACCTCAATCGGCAAAGCAATATTGTAATGGTGTCCGTATATTTCTTGACATAAGTACTTGTACTTGAATCTGCTTAACAAAGCTGTTTATATTGTGGTGTAAAATATATTTTTTATTATTATTATTTATTTATTTATTTATTTTTTTTTAACATTGCTTGATTTTTAAAGATACCTGCATATTTAATTAAATTATGTCTAAATATTTAATTATGTCTTTAAGGCATAAAATATCTGCAAATTAAGATTATATACAAAAAATGCATGTTCTGGTCTGTGATTCCTTTTCTATCATTTATTTATTTTAAGTCTGGAATCTGATTTCTTTTGGGATGAGCACCCCTCTGAGCCCCCCAGTTTCAGAGGCTTCTTTAGAAGTGACCACTGAAAAGTATAGATTCTATAAAATAGATGTGAGGGGGCATTGGGCAGTAAAGTCACCTTAATTATACTTTTCATATAGCAGATATGTGATATGCAATGTGATTTAATATATCAGAGTATTATCACTTTAATTGACACTATTCTTTATGCATTATTCTTTTTCTTTTTTTTCTTAAATTTTAATGTCTGTTTAGAATATTGCAGCCTTGCAATATCAAATTAATTTTGCATTATATGTGCTTTTACAACATATTAAAATTAGCCTCTTTCAGAATTGTAGAATATGTGGTGGAACTGAATCCTCATATATGAGATTTGAAACTGTATTTTTATATCTACTCTGTGCCCTAATCTGTATTTATATACATAATTGCGGCAGCATATAGCTTTTAAAGAAGCAATTATTACACCCATCATGTGTGGTGATTGCGGACTTTTTAAAACCTACTTTTTATTTTTTATAAATCTGTTTCTGGCTTTGAGAGAGCAGGCTGCTGAATGCATGTAAATGCTCTTAATGCTTAGTCTCTATACATTTATTTATTTAATCGTATTTTATAAAAACCTAGTTTATGAAATTCACTGAGATTACATGTGTCTGATCTGATTACAGTCAGTAGTACAATATAATTGTTCTAATTTCTTTACTGCTAGTACGGTGGGATAGTACCACTGATTTAAGTAAGCTTTCCCTTTTAAAATTGGTGGACTTTACTGCCATTGCAATAGACTAAAGACTGTACCTGAGTAAGCAAAGTCATTATGTGCAGGAATTGTGCACTTTAAATAGTAGAATACTTATGCTATTCTAGTGAATTGGGCTGGCTGCTTAACACATCATTTAATATATTTTGGTCACATTTAAAGCTGTAAATGTATTTAACATTTTATTTAAATAAGCCTTTAATAATTTCAGTTTAAAAGTTATCAGAGATCCTGTATAGTTACCATTTTATTGTGCCCTGATTTCTTACATATATTATTTTTAATAATTTTATAAATATTTATTTTTGCATAGCATTTAGAGAAGCAAAGGATGTATAACCACCTGTTGCCCTTTTTTCTAGGAGGGTAGTATAATTTCAACTCTGTTTAGGAAAAAATATAAGCTAGTTATCTTATATTATATAATATATATGCTGCAGTGTACTGCATTGTACTGCACTCAATGTATTTAATAGCCATGTCTTTCTCTCTATGGCTGTATGTAATAATGTTGTTCATAATTTGGAATATAAAACAACGACTTCTCAATTCCTTGGAATGTTTACATGTCTCTGTATCTCTGCAACCTTGGCTGGAAATTCCAGACTCCAAAAATAGTTATGCTGTTATAATTCCTGATTTTCAATCAACAGCTAGCGTAACTGACAATATGGAAAATATCACTGTTTTCTAAAACCTTTCTTATATAGTGGACATTAGAATCCAGAACGCAGTAATGCAATAATTAAAAATCCTGTCTGTCTGTTGCATGAATGTTTTCATTAAGCCATAATGCAATTTTCTTTGCATTCTTGGAATTAGACTTCAAATTTCATCGCTCTGTCTTATGACTTTTCTTTTGACAACATTTTGCATTAATCTTTTTCCTGCGCATGCATACTAAGCAGCTACAAAGAGAACATATCCCCCTGTCTGCAATCCACTGTCCTGGAACTAACGGGCCATGCTGTGCTGGTGTATTAGGCATTTGTTCTATTATGATATTAGTTAAGATCCACAATTTCAGCATTGTATGCTAATTACGTTGTACCTGGCACCTAAACTCACAGTGCCTTGTTCACATCAAAATCATCTCTAATGATCTCTCTCTGAGTCTGGGCTACAAGTAGCTCAATAGATTCTTGATATTTCAAGACTTGTGCCATGACAAAGTATTGTGTCTTCTCTTACGTATAAGAGGTTACCTAGGTATTTATTTTATATTTAAAGCTTCCAAGTACAAAGTCCCTTCGTGGTCGCCAATTGTAACCGTGTGTGGTTCCCTTATTTACCACTATAATGTCTTAAAGCATAGAACTTAGTAGGGCTAACCATACAGCTATCTTAGCCATAATTTTATATAGTGTAAGAGATCCTCTATTTAACATATATAAATAATTGAGAATACAATATAAAATAAGGATTGTCTTGGAAGCAAGATTGTCTTTTTGGATATTTATTATCCATTATAGCAGAGTTTATAAGATTACATTACATGCTTGCAAATATCATTAATAGGTTAACATACCCTTCTGAACATGTCATCATGTCAGCCTCCCTGTCATTTTAAGATGGAGCAGCGTCTGTCTCCAAGTCTCTCCTCTGTGTATTAACATTTAAAAGTACACCTATTTATACCTTAGGTGTCTCCATTTTAGGTTACTGTAGTTCAAATATGAAAAAGTAACACTTCTTTTACTTTATTCAATTTAGGACCTCCCTTAATTTGGCAAACATACAAGGCCATAACTAAAGGGTGTATACGTCATGGAAATTTTCCTGACTTAGTTCAAGATGGCATCTTAAAGTCTGAATAGGTTATCTGTTGTTTATACTAAGTCGTAAGTGTACAGTCGTGGGAGATTCCCGGATTTGGGGAAGTTCCATTAACTTGGGGTTACCACAGTATATTGTGTACTGCAAGAGTCGTAGTATAGCCTTGAAGCTTGTTTATGCATTATTGTTATTGTAATTCGTCTGGGACAAAATGGCGCAAACATATTATGCACTGGGGTTATTGCCTAAAGAAACAGTTATGAAAAACAATATGTTCCATTTCTAACACCTTGTCAGTTTGCAATATCTCTTAAAGACAAAGTACACAGTTTAAGAAATACAACATTTCATTCTAAAACTTGTAATATTTGCATTTGCCCATAACAGGATGGTCAAACTCGATTTGAAGGACGCATACCTCACGGTCCCAATGGCCGACGACTGCCACCACTTCCTGCAATTCCGCTGGGAAGGGAACGTGTGGCGATTCCAATGCCTACCGTTCGGCCTTTCATCGGCTCCCTGGTGCTTCACAAAGCTCATGAAACCAGTGGTGGCCCTCCTACGCAGCAGGGGCGTACGGCTCATAATATACCTGGACGATATCCTCATCATGGCCCAGGACCCGCTTCTGTTGCAAGAACACCTCTCCTGGACGAGGAACCTGTTAGAAAACCTGGGTTTTCTGATCAACTGGGAGAAGTCGGTCATCGAACCCTCGCAGGCTATAGAATTTCTGGGATTCACCATAAACGCAGTGACCGGAACACTCCTACTCCCAGCGACCAAGGTCAAGGCCATCAAAAAGGAGCTCAGGAGGACGCTCACACGTCCTGTCCTTACTTTGAGACAGCTGGCCAGGATTGTAGGCCTCCTCTCGGCGTCAATTCAGGCCATTTTCCCCGGACCCCTACATTACAGAGCACTTCAACGGTTGAAGGCAAAATACCTTCGTTTGGGGCACTCATACTCCGACTCTGTTCCTCTCGACTGTGCCGCCAAAGAGGAAATCAAATGGTGGCTACAACACATGGAAGCCTGGAATGGCCGCGCGATCTTCGGAACGGCGCCAGTCCTCGTAGTCGAATCCGATGCCAGTTTGCTCGGTTGGGGTGCGCGCTGCGGACCTTTCTCCACCGGAGGAAGATGGTCCAGGGAGGAACAGGGACTTCATATCAATTGCCTCGAACTGTTAGCAGGTTCGTTTGCTTTACGGAGTCTCTTGAACGTGTCGACCAACTGCTCCATCCTGTTACGCATGGACAACGTGTCCGCAGTTCGATATATCAATCACCTCGGGGGCACGAGATCAGCAATGCTTGCGGAATTGGCGAAGGATTTCTGGCAGTTCTGCCTGGACCGCAACATATCAGTGCAAGCGGAACACATCCCGGGGATGAGCAACGTAGTAGCGGACTGGAACTTCAGACATCTACGGGATGCCAGCGACTGGCGGCTGAACCCGGCCGTTTTCAGCCATTTACACTCACTGTGGGGGCCGCTGGACATCGACCTGTTCGCGGCACGGCTGAACACGCAGTTTCCGAAGTTTTTCAGCTGGAGGCCAGATCCGGAAGCTCTGGCGGCAGACGCTTTCCGACAACCGTGGCCGCACACCAGGCATTACGCTTTTCCCCCCTTTTCTCTCATCGCACGGACCTTGCTGCACCTCAGACGACACCGGACATCCCTAATCCTCGTATCTCCTTTCTGGACGTCCCAACCCTGGTTCCCTACACTTCTAGAACTGTCCATAGATCTACCGAGATTACTGCCAGTACACGACAACATCCTCTTGGATCCCTATGGCAATCCGCACCCTCTCATACTACAGGGACATCTCAAGCTTTTGGCATGGCTCCTTTCAGGGGACTCGAGGACACCCGAAATGTTCCACAAACGACTCTGGACCTCCTGGCAGGAGCTTGGGCCCCTGGCACAAGGAAATCATATTTACATGCCTGGAACGCATGGTATGGTTGGTGCGTGGAACAACACGTGGATCCCATATCTGCAACTGTGAGTCACGTCCTGGGTTTCCTTACTTCACTTTTCGACCACGGCCTGGCATATCGTACAATTAATCTCTACAGATCAGCTATCTCAGCAGGCCATGTAGGTTGGAATGGAATTCAAACAGGGAAACACCCGATGGTGTGTCGACTCCTACGAGGCATAAGATTTGCACGACCACCACGACCTCGGTATTCCGAGTTATGGGATGTGAACCTCGTTCTCCGACTTTTTGAAAGTTGGCCGCAGAATGGAGATTTGTCGATCAAACAACTCACCGCGAAATTGGCCACTCTGTTCTGCCTCATCTCCTGTAAACGGGTCTCAGATGTACGAGCATTGGACATTCAGGCACGCTCATATACACCGGAAGGGGTGGCCTTTGATATATCGAGGCGTACGAAAACGTCCATCACGAAGGTTTTTTACCCCGCTTTTCCACACAACAGTAACTTATGCCCAGTAACCTGCCTTAAGGAGTATGAAGCAAGGACGGCTGCGGTCCGAGACCCTCAATGGGCGGACCTATTCCTGGCCATTCGACAACCGCATCGTCCGGTTTCTACAGTCACCCTATCTCGCTGGGTCAAATGGATCATGACGTCGGCAGGCATTGATACTTCCACATATGGAGCACACTCAGTGAGGGGTGCGATGGCATCAAAAGCGTTTTCATTAGGCTGTAAATTGGAAGATCTCCTCCGAGCTGCCGATTGGTCGAGAGAATCTACATTCCGTGAATTTTATTTCCGTCCGGTTTCCCATTTTTCCACGTCGGTGATCACACAGCTTTGAACTAGCATAATAGGAGCCTCCGTGTCCTTTAATAAAATTACCAGATTTTACTAATTTCATGACGTAAAGTCATGATTTTATAAAGGACACGGAGGCGAGTATTATCCCACCCACGAGAGGTAAGTTGCCCGCCTCTGGGAATATAATACATGTTATGGAAATGGAACCGTGTAATAATGTGCTATCTTATTGCTTTTGAATGACTAACTTGAGAATGATGTTGTGCTAGTTAGTTTGGATTATGAACGTGGAAAAATACTATCCAAGAACATATTTTACCATCTCGTTTCTCTGTTTTGCAGCTTCCTAATTGGAGTGCCATAATGGTTTCAGGCATGCCCACAAGTGTGTGGATGGAAGATGACCAGTTTCTTACGGATTTGTTGAGTTTTCGTCTGACGTCATCTTCTATTGGATTCGCTGTTTTTTCTTTACACGTCCACTGTTTGGAATTTTCACTGCTGAATTTTGGAGTGTCCATCAACAACAACAAAAGAAAGAGGAGTGGCTTAGGGTCACATGGGACTTTGTGGTAATGGGGACACTCTGATTGGTTCATATGTGGTATCTGATTAACCCTTTAGAAGTATGATGTGGTGTTATTGAATTGTTTTTTTCCCTTTTTGCATTGAATATATATACTATATTTCTTTTGCTGCTGAAGAATAAAAGAAAGAGAGAAGCATAATAGGAGCCTCCGTGTCCTTTATAAAATCATGACTTTACGTCATGAAATTAGTAAAATCTGGTAATTATCCAGTGGTGTCTCAAAAATAACACAATTTAAAGGAGTAATATTTACAGTCTTTCTTTCATATGATCACAGGACTGAACACAAACAGATGTGGCTGGCTGTTGGTTTGAGGTGCAAACCTAGGAAGGAAACGAGTGCAGCATGGGTTCAGCCATGCCAAATATATTTTTGGTTGGGAAAAGGGAACACCTTTCATCTACTGCACATGAACATTTCAACCATCTTGAAAACAGACACATCTACTTATTCCTCAGTATTAGGATAACATGACAGAGTTCCTGTAATGGTTCATGAATGTAATCTCATACTAGACCCCCAAAGTATTCATTGCACGATTCAAATAAATATTGCACTACATCAAAACAAAAATAACTTGGCTTTAAAGTAAATATAAAATTAAAATAAATAAGTAAAATTTAATTAACTGGCTTACAAACCAAATACATATTTTAGTAAATTAAGCTTTTATTAGATTCATCTTCCATTATGCCCAGTGACACATAGATACAAAAAACACAGAACCGTGAAAAGAAAATACTCCAAACTTGATCTTGTCCAAGCAGCACTGTGTGATAAACATTATATGACAACCAACGGATTGACAACATTGAAATGTACAAATTGAAAAATATATGGGTTGCATGGGAAAACATAAAGAATGAATTATTAAAACCTGCATGTGTCGTTAACTAATTTGTGGTAAATCTAAGTGTAAAGTGAAAATCCAGGAAAACAAGCCTCTCTTTGCAAGAAATATTGCCTCTCATTGGTGCTTCTACATTGTCATTTCTGAAAAGTGCGTGACTTATAGCTAATGGAAACCTGTCAAAGCATATTTAATTTGGCAAAGCAAAAGTATAGCAGTCCAACTAAAAATGCTTTGTTTAAGGGATTAAGAAAACATTTTAAAACTGTGTAAAATGATATGAGACAAATTGTACATTTGTTTTAAGGAAAAAAATTAAATAAAGCCCACATGAAAATCTACAGGGTTATTAAGTAAACTGTGATTTCATCAGGGAATATCACGTTGTAGGCCGAGCAGTCATGCAAGAATTACAGATGTGCTGGAGAATATTTCCAATTTTTGATAATTTGGTCTAAAATGTGGAACGCCTTAGCAAATTCCAAATAATCCCATGATTAGAAAAAAAATCCTGCAATTCTTTTTGTGTCGTATGGTCATAAGAAATATTTACATTAAAAAAAAAACATAAGATTTGATAACTATTTTATGTCTCAGAGCAGCTTTTATGCACAGAACAACACCACCGCTTCACCAAATGGAACTGTAACCTAACTCAATGCACCAGAAAAATAATCTTTCAATTGGATGGTGGGAGTTACTTTTAAAGTGCGATTGTGAAGATCAAAATGTAGAATGGCCAAATGGAATATTTTCAGACATTAATGATAGCTCCACTTCTATAACTTTGTTGTAACTCTCATTATATTTTTTTCTATATTGCATACAGTCAGTGTGATCGTAAAATATTAGAGCATACGTTATCTCTTCATTAATACAATATTTCTAATACTAACACTATTTCAGAGTACTGGTATTAAAGACAAAATTGTGTCATCCTGATCCAACTGAAGACCAACAAAGTCCAATCATGCTTTCATCCTGCAGCCCCTCAGACATGGTACCTAAAAAGTGTTTACATTAATCGATATAACCTAAAGAACTATTATATATATTTGATTTAACCCCTTAAGGACACATGACGGAAACATTCCGTCATGATTCCGTTTTATTCCAGAAGTTGTGTCCTTAAGGGGTTAATAGTTCAGTTTGCTCAGTGGTGTTTAGAGGTATTAGAGAATCGCTTTCTTTGTATATAACCTCACGTATGACCTTGTACTTCCTTCAGTCCTGTAGAACATAGAAAAAAATAGATTTAGGAGGAACAATTATTAAGGCTGTCAGGTCATGGTGGTAAAAACGATGGATGGGATGAGAATCTCACCACTTGTAAGGCTGACAAACTTTTATTTATTTTTTTAAGCTACAGGTCCAATTTGAAGCTTTAACCCATAAAATATTGCATGTTAAATAAACTAAAAGCAGTGAGTCACTGAATCATGTTAAATACAGCTCTGTAACGCACAATATATTTATTAACAATAATACTTTGGGACTAACTTGGCAGAATTTTAAAATGAAACCACATAAATACTGGCGATATAAACCATTCTTGTGCAATTGGTTAGTAAGAAACAGATGGAAATTGCAATTTCAGTAAGAAGAAATGATTTTTAATTCTGTGATCAATAATTTGAGACTTAATTAATTCAGAGATGCAGAGTAAAGCATACATTTCATAGTATAGCAATATTTAGGTCAACAAATACTTCCTGTTAAGTTGTCAAAAATTTAAAATTTTCCCTAAAAGAAAGCAGGGACGTGGAAACGTCAAAATAAATTTCAACACCTTAATGAGCAAGTTAGCCTCACCTTTTGCTGGCATTGTTGGCTTATTGTCTGAGCTTAAGGGGTTAATATTGATAATTCACATGATTTTGGGTGCAGCCTGCTTTATGTTACACTGTATGCTGTTCGACATTGGAAAGCGTGTGCAATGGAATTATTACCAGCCAGATGTTTCATCATTTTAAACCAGGCTTCAATTTTATAGACTTCAGACAACAGTGGAAACTGGAGCTCATCAATTCTCCCCTTAGAGGTCCCAAGAATCTGACTTCTTTCCCAGATTAATCAGCATCATGCCTAAACTCTCTCTACAAAAAAAAGTGAACGCCTAAAAAGTAAAAGGTTAGCTTTGTTTGTGTTCTCTCTTTACATAATGCTGTTTAGATGAAGAAAGAAATAAAATAACTGCCGGCCTAGGAGACAGTATTCAATAGATCATAACACTCAAATTGTAGTAACCATTTATTAGCAAGGTCTAAACGGGCATTCTACACATTGACCCATTGACCATTGTCACATTGTGGGTGGTTATGAACCTGCTCATTTTTCCTGTACAGTCTATTAGCTCCGATTTCTGGAGGGCGCAGCTGCCCTACTATACATGAACCCAGCATTATGTTCTGTGACGTCCGACTGGCAAGAGTCAATTTTGTAATCTCACCTAGATCCTACTTTCTCATTTAACACTAGCTTGACTTCCTCGATGTGTCTTTCTGTTGTCCTAACTGTGTCTGGCTTCTGGTGATTTGTACTGTCTGCTTTAACTACCGGTTCTGTACTTTTGCTTCCTATGGATTAATTTAATTTAATTTATTTATTACTGGTATTTATAAAGTGCCAACAGATTCCGCAATGATTCCAATGCTAAACTCAGCCATGCTAACTATTAGTAATCCATAATTTAGTCTTTATATCCTTCTCCAGGTCAGCTAAGCATTACTATTTATCTATAGGCTAATGGTGGGCCACTTCAAATTGCTCTGCTGACTCCTGGTCCAATTTAAAATCCTTTAATATATTTTGACTGCCATCATCCACATGGGGTCTCTAATCTCAAGACAGCTTCAGTACATGAAAAACTTGGTCTGTCCAATATTTTAATGCAGCCTTATTCTGACAATGAATAAATGATAGGTAAAGAAAGACGTTGAAGAGACAATTCTATCTCTACTCCTCTGGTGGTGTGACACTATGACAAGCAGGAATTAATAACATGGTAGCTGTCATTAAGTGATACTTACATGTTTTCCAACTGGCAACTTTCCCCATACAGATGCATTAATTCAATGCATCTCTATGAGGAGATGCTGATTGACGCAGCACAGCATTTTGCCACACATGTGCAACAGCCTATATGGGAAAGCATTGCATTGACTGAGATCATCAAAATGAATTATCCCAGACGCAACGAGACCCGTGAGGTGTGGGAGAAAAGGTGAGTAAAATCACCTTTATTCTCCAGAGAGAGGAGCCAGGCACCCATGGCTGCATTCCAGCATTATAGTGTCAGGAAAACATGTTTGTAAGATCCTCCGATACTGCTGCTGAAATTGAATTGAAAATACTCCATCTGTAATTGCTTACATCCAGTATAACTGTGATGGGTCCTTGACAAAATCTGCCATTTCTTTCAGTGGGATAATTTCACAATATACTAGAATACTAAGTACATAAGGAAGTTTCCAAATATAAAATATCATTTAGTGATTTAAAAAACTGAAAATGCATAAAAACATAAAGTGTTAAAATACTACTCACAAGATTTGTGCTCTCAGCAAGCACTCTATCACAAATTATTTACAATTTAAAAAAAAACAGTATTTAGTGCCTAGCGATCCATGTATCAACAGACGTAATCAAATATTCCTTTCTTTACATTCTATGTAAAAGCATAATTCCAGTAAAACTCCATGTTCTGCATGTGCTCAACTTGCTG